TCAAACATACTATTTGCAATAAGAATGATTGCAACGTATTAGAAGTTGTCATTATTGTTATTGCAAACGAGTCTTCATATTCTTATTTGGTTTCGTCAAGTATTGTAGCAATACATGATATCTGTTGTAGGGTGTAGTAAAGGCGACAGAAAAAAAGAGATAAGGAAGCATAATAGTTACATACTTAATACGTACAAAATGTCCGTATTAAACTTTCTTTGAACACTACTTATATCGCCTATTTAGAAAGACATTCTTTGGCGTAAAACAAAAGTAACAATAGTTCCCCATAGAGATCTCAAAATATCAATTAAAATATTAATAGTAATCGACGACCTTTTACAAATACCTTTGTTTCAAAACAATATTATCTTTCTGTGAATATTAAATTACGATTATCTACAAAGTATTACGATCAGCATTTAATAATTATATAAATAACACCGTAACTACTACCGTTTACTCCAGGTTCGTTGAACCTAATCCACTACGTTTTTTTATATGTAATCTTTTAATCTACCCCTATTTTCTTTATTTCTCTCATGTATTGGGTTGGCAAGAAAGTAATTTCGGTTTTGTAGTGTGAAATAAAACTCATTTTTTTTATACAAAGAATAAACTTTAATCAATTATATATTTTCCATTTTGTTCAATGACCTTTTGCCATCTTTCTTGCAGCTTCATGATTCCGCGCTCATAGAATTTCTGGTCCTTATCAGCAAAAAACTGAACCAAGTGCGACTTAAGGTCATCATCATTTGTAAAAGTTTTACCATTCAAAGAGTTTTGCAAACTTCGAAATAAATGGTAATCAGATGGTGCCATATCAGGGCTGTATGGGGGATGCGACATCACTTCCCAACCAAGCTCCAATAATTTCCCACGAGTTACTAAAGATGTGTGAGGCCTTGCACTATCATGGTGGAACACAATTCCTTTGCGATTTGCCAATTCTGGCCGTTTTTCTTTTATTGCTTCATCCAGTTTCAATAGTTGTTGACAGTAAACATCTGAATTGATCGTCTGGTTTCTTGGAAGCAACTCAAAATACACAACACCTTTGTAGTCCCACCAAATTGACAACATGACCTTTTTTTGATGCAATTCAGCTTTAGATGTGGATTGTGCTGGTTCATCACGCTTGGACCATGATCGTTTTCGAATAATGTTACTGTACATGACCCATTTTTCATCACCAGTGATGATACGTTTCAAAAAAGGATCGGCTTCATTGCGCTTGAGATGCATATCGCAAATATTGATTCGTTGTGTTAAGTGAATCTCTTTCAATATATGCGGAACCCAAATATCGAGCTTCTTAGCGAGTCCAAGACATTTTAAGTGATTTTCAATTGTTGTATGCGATACATTTAACCTCTCTGCAATCTCTCGAACAGTTATGTGACGATCCTCTTCAATTATGGCTTTGATTTGGTCATCATCAACTTCAGTAGGTCGACCAGAACGTTGGTCATCTTTGAGTGAAAAATCTCCAGAACGGAATTTTTTAAACCAATTCTGACACGTGCGATCTGTTATGCAATCAACACCATAAACTTCACATATCTCTTTGTGGGCCTCAGCAGCTATCTTTCCTTTACGAAAATAAAAGAGTAAAATATGCCGAAAATGTTCGTTTTTGCACTCCATGTTAAAATTGACCCTGAACTAACAGCTACAAACAAAACTTTGCACAACTTGCTTCTGAAGTAACCTAAACGTGACTAATATCAAATGTCAAAAGGAAAAAACCATAACGCGGACAGGAGTCCTTCAAAACTCTTACAACGCTATCTATGTGTCACAACCGAAAATACTTTCTTGCCAACCCAATACAATATTTTGCTGAAATAGTACTACATTGTGCAATGCAGTTACAATCAGTGACAGGAGTATTCATTCCCTCGCAATTCCTGAATTCGAATGATTAATATTCTTTAACAATATACATTCTGAAATGTTTCTCAATAAGGATATATTGTGCAATAACTAAGCTTTCGAATGATATATCAGTAATTGAAAATAGTAATATACATAAATGGAAACTTAAGCAAATCATCGAAAATTTAATCTTATAAAATTATACTAATTCGTACAATTTAAGGGCCAAAGGAAATTTGCAAATATATTGATTTCACAAGGATACAACTGGTACAAGTATGAATACTTTTGTTTCATTTATATTACTAATAATTTAGATACTATATTACTACATTACTATATTACTATAAGTTTTTACTTATATTCGAAAGTTTATTTATTGCACTATATATCCCTATTGATAAACATTTCAAATATGTGTGTATATATACATGTATTGTTAAAGAATTATTAGTCATTCGAATTCAAGAATTGCGAGGGTACGCATACTTCTGTGACTCACTGTATATTATCATAAATGTTTTTGCAGAATTTTTCCAAAGTTCGTGAAACTGGGTTCACCAATATTAAACAATAACATCTGTGACGTCAGTATATACATATGTATTTATAATGACGGCGTAGTCGTCAGAAGGTTCAGTGATCAGATGTATCATTCTGTAGATAGTTTTGACGTCAATATTATGTACTGCAACTGACAAGAACACTGACGTAGCAAGCCAGTATCAAAGATGATACGACTAGATATTGCATAATCAAAGATATATTCTATTACGGATACATATATTGTTACATTTATGTTATCTACAATACTTTATTTACATATTTCATGAACGGATCTGCCGTCGACACGTTTGCTGTAGTACTCATTGAGTCAGTGTGTTATCTGGTCTAAAAAAAATATATAATCTAAGAAAGATACGTAGGAAAATTATGCTTAAAAAGTTTTTGTAATACTTAAAGTGCTTCTTGCTTACATGCTAATTGTATTCCATATTTTTATATTTCCGTCAACACGGTGTACCTAGAACTATTTTAGATGTTTAGTACATTACGTTTTGAATTAATTTTAAACAAAAATTAATTATTTCAACATGATTTTCTAATTACACTACCTGCTTCAAGCAACGTAATGAGGAAGGTAGAATATTAAAAATAAAGTTCAATATTTAGATTAGATGTCCGATATATTTTATATAGGTAAAAGGGTCAGAAATTATTTGTAAAATTATTATAAAACGAATTGATTTAAATAAAAACCATAATTTATTATTATTTCACGCTGAAAAGTAAAAGAAAATTTATCAAATAAATTATCATACAATATAAATACATTTGAAAATTGTATTTGTTTGAACATGTCAATTTATTATTTGACTAATCATGTTAAAATAATTATATTCAAAGGATGCTTATATTCGATTTCTGACTAAAGAAATTTTGTTTTTTCCATAGTTTCAGTTTTGCATCAAAACGTCTTATTGTTCAACGTTTGGAATAGCAAAATGTTTTCGTAATTTCATATCAGACGATCTATAAACACCTTTCATAATTTAAACTATTTGCGGAGATGCAAATAGTGGCCCTTGAAACATTTCTGTTTTCATGGTATATTTGTACCATAATGGTGGTAGATGTATGTATTCTAATCAGTCTAGTCTGTCGCGATAACTTTAGTGACACGCGATACACTTGTTGACGTAGTAATAAGACAATCGTTTCTGTAGTTAGTTCCGGAACGTAAAGAACTTCGATGGTTAGCCAATAAATCAGCTGATAACTTGTAACAAATAGTAACTTGTCGCTGTTAAATCACCCTGCAGAAGTTCAAGAGACATTCAAAAGAAAGAATTCTCCACACTTTCAACGAATGGAGTTTAAGTAATTCTAAATAAATGAGTTACCTGAAGTATAAATAATAATAATAGCGAGATTCCTTTTGTACGCAGTTACAATGTATGTATACCAATGTTATTTTCATGATCATAAAAAGCTGTAAATTATTTCAGTCTAATTTGTTTTCTGAAATAACCAAGTGAAGTATTTTATATATAATATTAAACTATGTTTAACATTTAAACCATTTCCTGAAGATGAGAATAAAGACTCGAAAAAAGCATAGAGAAATATCGGTTTATTGTATCGAAATAAATAATTAAATAAGAAAAACAAACAAAAGTTAATGTAATTAAACAAAATATTTCTAATTCACTATAATAAATACAAAATATCTTAGACTTTAATGTAATTGAAATACTGTTTGTAAAATGAAAAACTTCGACAAACATAGAAAAATATTTCATGTTCATTCCAATGTATTCTGATTGAAAGTACATATTATACAACAGATTCTAATCATTTTAGGTATTTACACAGTGAATACGTTCTACAGAACAATTATTTAACACTTCAGAGTTTAAATCAGTTTTAGGACGATTTGTTCTACCAAACAATCAATTTAAAAGAATTTATTAAATGTATCAAATTTTGACTTCTTTTGCTAAACATGTATTACTTTTTACTAAGTCATTGCCTTTGTTTATTTCCTGATATAGTTCCAGTAATTTCCTCTTTGTCGCTTTATAGTTTACAGGTACAGTCTTGTGACTCGCAAGCGATTGCTGATTAAAAAATTCAAGGACTTTTATTGTGATAACGAAGTTACTTCCTACTGAAACGTTGACATAGAAATTTATGGCGACGTATAGTCCACAATTGATATGTCACTGTAGACTGTAGACTGTACACTCAAGAAACATCGTTACGTTGTAAGTTTCATACGTATTAGTGGTTGAGAGTTTATTGATTACACGCTCTAATGGCTGGGCAATGTAGATTCGAAAACAGAAATGTGCCACGAAAAATAATTATCTGCGTGAACTGTTGATACAGATCTTCTTAGAATTGAAAAAAAAAATATAAGAAAATGACTGCTTCTTATGAGAAAAAACAACTATTTTCGTTCGCGTTTGTTCATTAAGTACTGCTATTTTATTCTATGATGTTCTGCTATTTTTTAGGTAACTGAAATATTCCTTCTTTTTTTTTTAGTAATCAGACACGTGTGTGTTTATTTCTTCAGTGTTTTCGAACACTTTTCCGTGAAGAGAACTTTGAAATGTTCGAAATAGATCAGACCTAGTGAATATAGCTGATGCGGTAAAATGTCACAACTAAATTGCAATATTGTTTGTCGTGTTATTAAAGACGTGTGCAATCGTGTGTTATCGTGATGAAAGACAATTTCATTTCTGGATACCAGTGACGGCCATTTTTCTTCTATTGCTCAGCTATGAACAATATTTTCCGATATTAATCGTCTGGTTATCTGGTAAACATTCATACATAAGTAGTAGAGTATTCCTCGTAATCCTCGCGCCTTTCTGATCCCACCAAGTAGACAGCAACACCTTTTTAGGATACAGTTAAATTTTGGCGTTGGTAAAAGACGTTTGTTTCTATGAATTTTTTGTTTCCTTAGACCAATGTTTTTTTCTTACCACATTATCAAAAATGGTCTATAAATAGACGTCTTTTGTGTCGCTTTAGCAAAACATCATACTTATTTATTATTCCAAGTTATTTTAAATGTAACGACACTGATTTATGTGAAATATTTAATATGTTGGCTGATGTGTTTATCCATTGTAGCAAATATAAACAGCAGTTTTAGATAATATTTCTCGGAGTGCGTACTGCCGTCGATGCGGACGAACTCATTACACAATCTAATATGTAATGTGCACAAACTTGGTACATAAGTTATCTATAACTTTATATGTATATTATAAAGATGTGTCAAGTTCGAATCGCTGTTGGCGATCACATTGTTATTCTAAAACGCGCTGGTGGACGAAACGATAAGTCTGCGAAACTCAATTGAATAAATACATACACTCCGGCTCATAAGTATTCGGACACTTAACGAATATACGGTAAATGTTACAAGGCATTACGAAATTGTTCAATTACGAAGTTTGAAATAAATATTGTTTTCGGGTTATTAAAGCTCAAGGGACAACGCTTATGCTACTATGAAGTAATAAAAGAGGTCTAAAGTATATTTATTTTCTCGAAACATTATATTTTCTTCATATAAACCAGGTGTTACAGTACTTACATAGGAGCGTTAGTGTATATAATATATAGTATCAATTTTAAAATAATGCAGGACGCGGTAATATTTAACACAAATACGTATAAGCTGTCTTCTTACGAAAAAATGAATCGAAATAATAAAAATAATCGAGTAATGCGATGCTGTTTTTCTATCGAAGGCTTCATTTCCGAGAAAATTGAATTTGAAAAATCGTTGATTTCGTGTAATATTCTTATTCTAGTACTGTAGCTTTTGTACTATGTATAATATTCCTGTTTATTGGAAGCAGTACAATGTATCGAGTGTCACATGAATTTAGATAGTTAATTTACTCAAAAGCCGAGCTCTGCACACGCAATTTCCAGTAATTTTTACACGAGGAATCATCTCATATGGTTTTATACCATCAACACAGCCGCACTATATGTTCTTAAACAATCTAGAAGTTTTCTACTTCCAAAGTGCAATTACGTGTGTGAATTAAACAATTAAATTATAATCTCAGTTGGAAATATAAACAATTCATTATGTGGAATCTTACAAGTTTTTTCATTAATAAATGCTCGTGTATTCTGTAAAACTATAAAATTATAAAATGTGACTACACGATGTACATTATTAATTAAAGATGAGTGAAAATATGTTTTCAAGTCATGTTAAATCTATTCAACGCGTTACAGAACAAATCTTCCCCGGGAAATAATGCAAATTCCCGATTTTCCCCTGGAAAACGACGAAGGTCCGTCGTTTGTTCATCATACTGTAATTCGAGAGTATCTGCGTGATTACGCAAAACATTTCAACTTACATTCCTATATAAAGGTAAAATTCAACCATGTTTCACTTTAATTTCTGAAATTTCCAGTTCAGTTATAATATTACAGTTGACTGTTTCAGCTGAACACTCTGGTAAAACTTGTGGAACCAGAAACCCTTCCAAACGGACAGACAATATGGATGATCACTTACAAGGATCTGGAAACCAAAGTGGAGACCACAAAGACATTCGATGCTGTTGTTTTGTGCAATGGTCATTACACGGTTGGTCACATTCCACGTATTCCGGGTATCGAAAGCTTCCCCGGGGGACGGATACACAGTCATCAGTACAGAGTACCGGAAGTGTACGCTAGAAAGACAGTTTGCATCCTCGGAGCATCTTGGTCCGGCATAGACATCGCTATAGAAGTATCGCAGTACGCGGACAAGGTAAGCGGAAACAATTTTCACACATTGGAGTTGTTATACTTACTACGACCGTTTTTTCAACAGTTCTATAATCACATTCAATATTTCAGTACATATTAACATTCTATCTTCTAGCGAGTAACGTTTTCTCTTTTCATTTATAGTCAAACCATCGATTATTTACTATTGTAGTATACGCTTTCATAATACTTTCCTTTGTTACTATTTTACAATTTACCTATAAATAAAGATTATGTAGCAATATAGTGTAGTCGTAAAGTATGTAGATCCCTGAGAAGCGGATCGTATTGACCCAGTCAGCCAAACTTGTCAAGTCAAATTTTGTTCAATGCCTGTTATAAAGTTATGGCTACAAGTTTCATGCAAGATTTGCTGTAAACACCTTGCGTGCACATTGGCAGCAACATAGGCAGCAAATTGACAGCAACATATGCAGCAAATTGACTTGCACAAACCTTGTACCGGTTTTGCCCTCAATTTGACATAGATCTTGATGCAAGACTTTCTGCCAATTTGCTTTACTATTTTGGTAGGTAGCGTTGCCTACAAAACCGTAATCAAATTCGGAAATAGATGGCTATGGTTTTTTAGACGACATTTTTACGTTATTGCTCGCAACTTGCTCGAAACTTGTACACAACTGGTTATTAAGGGATGTCGCTGGACGTAGTGTTGTACTTATGTACCCAATCTTTCCATTTCATTGCCTCAAAAAGATACCAACGATAATTATATGATTAAACGAACTTACCTGTAAGTGAAGTTCTATCATAATTGTAGGAAGCTTCTTTTCCGAAATGATCAGTCCCACCACAAAAAATTCACCCCTTTCTCAAGAGTAAGCCTTGAAACCCCTTGACGAACATTACGGCGTAGTTCAGAAGAGGCGACGCGCGACTCGAGGCGTCGTTTTTTTTCTTTTTTCTACCATAAACGTTAAAAATGTGTCGACATCAGTATGAAGTACTACAAGTTGATCATTTTGGAAGAGGCGCGCAATACAAGTAATGACTAATCTTTTTCTAGCAGGGAAACTATAATAAATTTTAATTAGCATTTACAGTGTAAAAATTTGTGTGCGTTCAACTTATCACTTGCGTTAATTTAATAATAAATAACAATTTATTGTTTTTTTTAACTGTAATATAAAAAACATGAACGGAAACAGAGTTTAGACAGTTCGTACGGCCCTAAGTGAGTCCTACGCCCTTTTACACCTTATATTTTTGATCAATTCTTGAATCTTAATGTTTGAAACATTTGTACTTTACACGACGAAACATACAATAGTTAACTCCCTTCTTGATTCTTGTGACTACACTATATCTCTTCCGTCAAAAGTAGATCTTATCATTGCAGATTTCTTCGGTTATAGGTATACTTAAGTCACAATTTACCGGAACCGGTCGATTCGGAAATGTCTAAAAACGTGGAACAGAGACCTGGAATCCAGTCTATCAAGGGAAAGAAATTCATCTTCCGCGACGGTACCACGGCGGAAGTAGACAACTTCATATATTGTACCGGTAAAAAGACTTGATCTTCGTACATATAAGCAATTGAGGTATCCTAAATCAATGATACATAAGTAAACGAGCGTAGTCAGGGCCCTGTCGAATTATCGTCAGGCCTATAGGAAACGATGAAGCGGTTATTACCGTACAATGTATACTTGCGGCTTTTATTATTGTTACGTAAGTTTCTGAGCTTGTTAGACACTTAACTTCGTTTGTTTATTTAGTTTTGGAATGCCAGCATTAAGACGTCTGCAAACTGTAGATCATTTGGTTCTTCGGTAGGACCCTGGCCTCAATCCCCGAACTGTATTTATTAACATTTAAATTTCGATCACACGCTGTGCTTGCAGGTTATAGGTTCACGTATCCGTTTATGTCACCTAAAGTTCAGATGCGTACGGACGAAAACCACGTCGAGCCGATTTACAAGCATCTAGTGCACATGAATTACCCGAATTTATTTGTGATGGGGCTACCGGGTATTGTAATTCCTTTCCCGATGTTCCACATACAGGCTCAATACATTCTGGGTATTCTCGAAGCTCGCATTAAGTTACCTTCGACAGAGCAGATGTACGAGGAATACGAAACTGAAAAAAAAACCCTACTTGATCAGGGTATACCTGTACGTATAACATTTTGCATAATTGATACTGGTGAACAATGTGATAAGGTATCGTAGAAACCAGTTAAATTTGAATCGGTCGAGATTATTTTCAGATTAACCTGAATTATAATAGCTATTAAAAAAAAATAAACTAAAAACATGGAAATATTTCAAGTATAAATAAGCAATTGTGTATAAAGTAAGGATACGGGAAGACTGAAATATGTAACGTTATTTTTACATTATTTTAATTCAGTGTTAATACAACTACTAAAAAGTCTTCTAATACAATTACGAAGAAATCCAATCCCAATGAACACCGACATTATGCTCGAACGGTGTCTTTAATAGACGCATAATATGATCATGAATTATCAACTTAAGGGGTCAAAATTGATCGTTCCATTTGTTTTATGTAATATTTCTTCCAACTCATTTTCACGACATCTTATTACTTTTGTTCACCAGTATTTTAATAGTGATTATGATCATCTATGACAAATGATCCATCTATGGATTGTACCCTGTTAATTAATATATATCGAATATACCTCTGAAATTTTTAATCAAAATTTAATTATTAACAACTCATTTTATTTTTCAATTAAAATAGGAGAGATACAGTCTTTAAATGTAAAAGTTTAGTACACCCTTGAATCTAAGTAATAAATCTGTATACCGGTTTCTCTAATTCAAGAATCTTAATTCAAGAAAAAGTCACAGTATCAGTGTTCTGAAACATTTGTTCATTGAAGCAATTCATAATTTAAAAATGAAAATACGAACTATATTTATATGTTCATACTTCTTAAATTTATCGAGGAATATACAAAAGAAATGACTTCTTAATGTACATAAATATAAAAATTAAATACGCATACATAAAAAACAAACAAATAACCATGTAATAGTAAATAAATTAATCCAAAAAGATTGAATATTTTATGCAATATTACAATACTTTATGAAAATAACGAGCAATGAAGTTTTGCATCTAATAAGTTTATCACTGCATCTAGTGGGGTTAAAATATTTTACCCCGTAAAATTCAAAATATTTTACACACGATACAGAACGCATTGCATCAATAATTTTGGGAAATAGTTAATTTGATTCAAAATATTATAACTTATTTCTCCAAAGAAGCGACGGAACATTGGTATATTGAATACAGAACTCTCGGAAATTGAAAGTAATTCCGTACTTTTGATCGGTTAGATTAGAATCAACGCATTTGCCCTCTGAAAAATGTTAATAAAAGAAATTAATCTTTCACTTGTGTAGTTGAGACATATTATCAAGCTGAAAGAGAGACAGTGGGCATATTACGACGAGCTCGCTGCGTGTGCAAACGTTCCGAGTCTCCCGCCGGTGATCAAGAAAATCTACGACCATGTTAACCAGATGCGTGAATTGGACTTCACCACTTACAAGAATTACCAGTATCATATAATTGACGATGAAAATTTTGTAGTGTGTTACTCTAAACCTTGTTAAGGCTGAAAAGCGGATACTCAGATGAATTTCTTGATTTTAACAGGAAATTCGTTCTTCGAAACTGAAGTTCCGTATTTCCATGGCAGATTTTGAAAACTCTGACTTCATTAACGTTCTCATCCTTTCTGTGAAACGTACATGTTAACCCCTTGCCCTACCATTTCCTTGAAGTTTGCAGTCTCCAGGATTACTTTGTTGTCGATAGTTTCCCAGAAACGAAAGGAATTCTGTACTTATCGCAACTGTATTTTTACTGTAGAAGTTAAACGTTAATACCAACAACGCGGCATTTCACTTCGACTCAAAGGAAACCGAATAATATTCTTCTTTGTTGAATCGATTTTGAAATCGTCAACACGAGCCTGACTCAATGTTATAGGGCAAGGGGTTAAGACAAAATGATACGTTAACAGGTTTCTGCTGCGAAGCTGAACGCAACGAGCAACGTTTAGGAGTAACTATGCATTTTATTATGCGGTTCCGTTGTTAACTGAAGAGACTCAATGTGAAACAATTTACTGGAATGCCTGAAAAGAATGTTCATAACTGATTAAAGTAAATATTTGTATTTCTGCGACCAGTAAGGTGGATTAAATTGTGAATTAAATATACATGCCGTTTTTAGGATGCTGTAATATTTATTTTATTAAATATTTCTACGTTGCTTCTCCCAAATATGTATACATTAAAATGCAATTTTTCATTGAAAAGTATTTATATAATGTAATAATATTTCTACGAAAATAATAACAACTCATATTTACAACAAGAATGGTGTAAGTAATTGTTTAAACCTTCAAACAATAAAAATTGGTATTTATTATAACATTTATTGTAACGATTGTATTCTAATAAAGTTATAAATGTTTCCTTACAATTTAATTTCTAAATAACTAAAATTAAAAATTAGTACGGACGCAATGAACAAGAATGCATCTGAATTTTGCCGCGTTCCGTCACAAGCCTGCGTATTTACCTGCTAATCAACTTCGCTGTCTACCACTGTTATTCACTGTGGAATAACAGGACTTTAATTTGTTTGTACATAGAATGCAATTTGACAGGTCGTATAACCTTAGTTAACTGTGGTAATGGAAGAGAAGAATATTATAAGTGTTGAAAACGTTAAAAATGTTGAAAATATTGACAATCCAAAGAATAATAAGAAAGTGGAAACCAAAGATTCCACCGTAGAAATAAAAGAATCGGATTTACAAGCAGAAAAAATAGAAGAGAAAGAAAAAGCACAAGTGAATTTGGAGGTCCTTGAAGATGCAGAGGCTTCTCAGCAACCGGTTTATCAAATACGCCCACAACTACACGAGAAGTATTCTCATTTATTCAAATTTTACATTATTTTGTCTTACAAAGTGCATAAGTACAACCAAGCACTTGTTTTCTTCCTATCTCTCTTATTTTTATTTAAATAATGTTATATTATTTTATACATTTGCACAAGGATGAATTACACAATGGTATCAAATACTATTGGATTCATAATCATTGTGACAGCAATAGTATTGATAAACTTGTCATTGTAATATTACAATGAAATTGTTTGTAAGGTCTACAATCCCAACACAAATGCAACAAAAACATTTTATATAGGTTTAAACCGTTAAGTGCTAAAGAAGTTATACATAATGTGTTGTTCGATCAACTTTCCACAAAAACATATGATGCTCAGGAAGCTGTTCAGTGGACTAAAGATATAGCTGATATAATTAGAGAGAAAGTTAAAGGTAAAGTTTCATTTTAGAAACATATACTAGATTAATAATAAATTACACAAATGATCTCTTGTATGTTTCTAGAATTGAAATTCAAACGTTACAAATATCTTGTAAATGTGGTTTTGGGTGAACAGCATGGTGCTGGGGTAAAAATGGGTACAAGGTGTATTTGGGATGCAGAGGCCGATACATATGCTTATGATAGTTTTGTAAATGTAAGGAATATTACAGTTAGTTTTAATACTTTCATTTATTGCACACATTCTATACGCATATATAAAAAACCAATATATAGGTACTGTACAGCACATATATTTAGTTACATTATGTTGTTACATAAAGTATTGTGCAGAAATGCTGAGAATTGAATTTCATCATGCAAAATTAGATAGACTATAAAAATAAAATATGGATAATCATTTCAAATTATTAATGTTTAGAAAATAATGAATAATTAAAACATTTTTAGAATATATAAATGTATGATGAATAGAGCATTTTACATAATTTACAATATGTTAGGACTAGATACAAAGCAATCCATTTGTTTCAGGATACAATATTCTGCGTGGCCACTGTGTACGCTGTATATTATTATTAGAAAAATATTGTTTCACCCAATTTGCTATAACAGTTTAGTAATTAGAAGGTGTATTTTAAAATGTCATGAATGGAGGAAAAATAAATGTGTGATCATACTTCTAGGAGGAGCAGACACTTTATTAAAGTAGAAGCTACTATTATTAGTTGTTAACAAGTGATTCAACATGGCACGATTTTTATACATCATTAAAGATAGTATTTGTATGTACACATACCTATGTTTTTAACGAAAGTGCATAATTTTTCTATGCCTCTCGTACACTACAATTATTATAGCACCATAATTCACAGTGTTGTACAGTTATGAAAACTATACAAGGCACACTTTTAAATCATAAACGACGTTTAATTTTACTACTATGCCACTTTTCTAAATTTATTTATAAGGTTATACTAAGTTACTAACTGTTTTACTAAAATTATTGCATTATGATTTATTCACTGTGTATATAATAGATCGAAATTGAAGTACGTAATAAGTATGACTCCTTGTCGCTATATAATATGTAAATATAATCATAAGAACTCAAAATTAAAACTGATATAATAATTTTGTATACTTGATAATACGTTTTTAATGGTATTATAGTAGAAAAAGATATATGTATATATTAATAAATTATTTGTAAAAAAAATTGTCAAATCGCATGGTTATATTTTTCCAAACAAGTGCACGAAATTATAAATCTACAGCTCCTTTCATAACATTTCACAAAACTACAAAGTGAATGAATTTTGTGCTAAAGATTAAGAGCGATTGTATGATGATGAAGAGGAAAATAAATAAGTTGCTTTTTAATTTGTAGTAAATATAACAAATGAAATGGTAACAAAATCAGTATTTTACATTACAGATTAGAGCGATAAAAAATATAGGTAACTGCATATTATTGCAGTTTCAGCACTTGTTCTCGAAAAACGAAACACAATGAAAGCAGCAATAAATAGAGAAATACTGAAAGTGGCTGCTACATAAAACATACAATTTGTATGACTATTTTGGTTAAAAATAATTTTTTTAATGGCATTTGTTTGCTGTTTACCATTTCATCTTTTAGTTATTGATAATAGTTATTTAACTTTCATGTTACGCAAATAACGGAAGACTGATACATACAGGTACATTCTCGTACCAATTAACATAGTAGATTTTAACATATTAATATTAATAAGTTACATAATTACACACGGCATGGCACAACAAAGGGGAAGACACACGGGTACGACAGCCCCGCCGCTCTTGGATTTCGATTTGCTTTTACTTGAAGCTTCGTATTCGTATTTTGCACTTTCCTTTTGCCAACCTCCCTGTAAACAAATGATTTATTATATTATTATTATATATTTGTCAGAATAATACTAACAATTTGTATTGTTTCAATATCTAAAACAGTTGCTATGTCATTGTCCTCACAAATTTTGAGAACTTCAAGGAAATGAGCACACAAATGTATAATAATACAATACCAAAGTTGCTAAATTTATATCCAGAAATTACGTAAACCTTGGAGAGATTACTATAAAGTATTAAAGCACAATCTACTTACCCCAGCTTGTGACATTGCCATACTCGCCTCTTCTTTTTTAGTAAATTCCGCGGATCCAGGAGGATAATAAACCGGAGGTCCGGCAACGTTTTTACTCTTCACTTTGGGTGGTGTATGGGGTATAAAATCAACTTCCTTTTTAACGATAGTTGATTCTTTTGGATGCCTCTTTTCTCGTTTTTCAATGTCCTCTAACACTTCGCGCTAGAAGGTAATAAACATATTAAAAGGTAATTTAATGAGGCTGATAAAGAATGATGTTAGGTTCATTATGTAAGGAATTTATATTTATTATATAATTGCATAATATTATAAAGTTATAGTCAATAAAGCGATTGCAATGATTACGATTATTTATGTCTTATTCTTGTCATTTTTCTTCATAGAATTTGCTCTTAAGTAAGAATTCTTATCATGGTAGCATAATATTTCTTACTATAACTTTGTAATTACTTCCTTTCGTAGAAAAAATGTAGCCTAGCTTGCTGATCAATTTTGAGACAATCAATTATTCATAAACAATACTGTCGGAGATTAAAAAGAGCTTTCCATTCACCTCGGAGTCGGAGAACGATGCCATGAGGTCTTCCAGCTTTTTTACGGTCGTGGTCGTGTTCGAGAATTTATATATCGTCGTGGTAGATTGCGGTGGGGTGGTTTGCGGCGGCGAGGTGTAATAATTAACCGGTGTTCCTGGTTTATCAGGTGTCGGGTATCGTCCGCTGGATGGCGGTCTGCTGGGATAGTGTTCCTCGATCCGATTTATGGTAGTGTGAGTCTCGTTTATCGTGGGTGGCTGATTTTGATAAATAATGGTGGTCCCTGGATGATCTGGTCTGTCACCGGGGTAGCCAGTCGGATAACTACCATCAACCTGGTAGTACTTTTCGTTTCGCATTACGGCTGTTTTACTTTCCTGACTTGGAGAGCCGGGATGGTAAACGATTGTTGTTGGTTGTCCAGTCTGGCCTCCGTGGTGTTCTTCGCGGAAGAATTTCGATTCTTGGTGCAGCGTCGTGGACTTTTTGGAAATATCCACCACTGGTGTTGGACTACCATACCTAATCGGTGTTCCGGATGGAACGTTTTCAGTCACGGTTTGATAGGTGACCGTTTTGTCTGTCGTCGAGTTGCTGCCTTTCGGCAACGTGTACGTTATAGTTTGGTCACCTGGCAGCACAACGGTTCCTGGCACACTCCCACTTGGTAGATACGTTTCAGGCGCCCCTGGTAGCTCGTATGTGTACGTTTTAATGGTAGTTGTGACTTTTGTATTTGGACCTGGTGCCAGATTGATGGGGATCGCTGCTGTTGATGATGGAACTGGTATATACTCCACTGGTTCCGTTTGATAGTCTTCAGTATTCAATTCATGATTAATTATTGAAATATAGCGATTTATCGTAAATCAATTTTGAAAATTTGTTAGAGGTACTCACTCGAAGATTCGTGAACATATTTCACGTCTCTCTGTACACCTGGTAGAGGTGAAGTCTGTTTCGAACGAGATGTACAATTGTCATTGTATACCTAAAATGTGAATAATCTTTGGTTGTATACTTCAGTGATTAGAAGCATTTAAAGTATTTCAAAGAATGGAGCACTCACTAGTTCTCTGTTGACTGTTCTACCAACAGGTTCTGCACCACGATGTAGTGTACTTTCTTCGTAAGTTCTTTCCCGAATATCATCACTATAAAAGGAGATACGGATATTTAGCAAACCATATGAGTTTTCTTCAATACATTAAGACTTCGAAATCCATTAAAATTGGGGTTAAGATTAAGTTCAGTTTATCTTTAGTTTAACATGTTCACAGAGGGAAACAGGTAACTTGACCTTTGCATTTAACTCTGTTCTTTTGAATCTTCGTTTTCTTTGTTTATTTAGTTAAATATCCCTGTACTTGATTATATTATAATAAAGCATTTTGTACGAGCATACGTTGTTGGGTAAGGCGTATCCAATCTTTTATACTGGTGGTTCAATTTGTGTCTATAAGTGTTTATGATCGAAAAATTGCCCCATATTGATCGTATAATTTCTACTTGCGTGATACTTTCTTCACTTTTGCGTTATAAGGACGTACTTAAAGGAGAAATAAGAATTTCTTGGCAATGACCGAGATATTTGCTATATTTTGGAGTGGATACTTACATCAAGGCCGAACTGTTATTGGTCAAAGCATTGTCCGAGGTTGCCCAAGAATCTGTGGAACAAGAAATGGGAATGAATTTTACTATATTTCAAAAATTAAGTAACGAAAATTGATTAGAATTAATGAGATGAAAAATGTATTAATGGAAGGTCTACATTTGTCTACGTTTAAAATAAATCTACGCCTGAAATTCAGGTTTCTGATGAACAGCCGTCACCCGGTGACCCAACGACAATGGTCATCCTTGGGGTCTCAATGTCGCGTGTTCCTTCTTTCCTTCCCACCGCCGTTCACATTTTTCGACTTTTTTATTTTCTCGCTGGAAGTACAGTAGAGGCACGGAGAAATCGGGTCAATCTTCTGTTATACGCAGCCCTAATATGGGTACGCTTGTATGTCGTGTGTTACCGCAAACAACACAGTCATATAAACATCGGTCGCTGCATCACTACCATATACAGAGACGGCCGCCGCGGAAATCTTCTCTGTATAATGGCATTGCCGTGTTACTTCTGATCATGGTTTATTGGAAATACATTAACTTCAATGAGTTATGCAGAAATGAAAATGATGAAATTCAAATTTGTATCTGAATGCAATTGTTGAGATTTAAATTTGCATTAGTTTATATTTACGTTCAAAATCGTATTTGATTACTGAATTTGGATTCATTCTGTTTTACTTTAGCTCTTGTACGTGAGCGTAATCAGAAAGACCGCTATACTTGTGTGTTTTCTAACTGGTGTAGTAAGTTCATACATTTCTTAAAAGTTTTATTTTAGTATATTACAGCTATTCATAGATGTTATAAAAGAACACAGTCTGCTGATTATTTTATCTTTTGAATGAAACATTTACAAATATCGGCTTATGTGAAATTTTTTTCGAAAACTTGGAGAAATTCAGAATTAAATTGTTTGGGCAGTCTGCATATTAGCATGTCCAGATAAGAAAATATGTAGAGTTAGAATATAGTATAAACAGACAATTTTTTATCAATTGTGACATATGTACAATTGGCTTTAACACTGAAACAACCAAAGTAGTTAAAACCAATGGCTTTTAACTTCGCATAAAAATTATTAAAATGTTGTAAGAATGCATTATCTGAGATCATTCGTAGTCTTTATCGCAATGTAAGAATGCAGGAATTAATTACTTTATAAATTTTTATATTTTCGAAAACCTGTCGTTTTTGTGTCGATCTCTTGACGTAGATGTAAGTTCGTCGTCGATCATTCTAATGTTTTAAGAAATCGTTGATTCGTCTAATAACAGTTCCGTTAACGGAATTTGATCGAATAAGAATGAAGTTTCGCGAGAATCCCGTGGTAGGTATTGAACCTTCCTCGTTTTGTCGTTCTCATTGTTAATTAACAGTGTACCTGTAAGGACGTTCCGCGCCTTAAAAGGAGCGACACGAGTGACCAGCTCTCCTTCCTTCCACGATCGCTCAAAACAAGACAGCGCTTGCGCGCGATTCTTCGTGAACACGTTTCAGACTTTACAGAATCACATCGACCATGTTCGGTCGTTGATACAACTTTTTGAAGTTTTTGAATTTAGTAACGAAAAACAGCACATCCGAAACTCTTTTAATGATACAATAATCCTTTAAGTGTACATTATGATGTAAAGGCTGTATCAAAACGGTCTTTTTTAGGACTTTCGTTATGGAAAACTATAACATATACAGTAAACAATGAGTCTGGGGTTTATTAATATACATTTTAATATATAAAAAAAATTGTTTACGTTATTTTCTTTAATATATACTGCCAAAACCAGCAATGGCTGTAACGTTCCAAAAAACGGATGCCGAAACAGTGTACCTAAAATTTCGAGACACACTTATCTCAAATAAAAAAATCAAAATTTTTCTTAAAATTTATAGAGATGGTTATCATATTAAGCACTTTTATTGAAAAATAATGAAAATTCGTTGATTGGCACCTATTTTTGTGAAAGTGTTCCAAATATAGGTAATACTTTCATTAAAAAACGCAAAACTTCTGAATCTGCTTGATACGACAATCATCCCTAGAAGATTTAAGAAAAATTTTGGTGTTTGATTTTAGATGAGTGGATCTCGAGATTTTAGGTGCATCGTTTGGATATCCGTTTTTTTAACGTCACACTCATTGCTGATTTTTGGGGTGTATATTAAATAAAATAACATAAAATTAATTGTTCATACCTTAAAATGAATATTGATAAACACCAGACTCATTGTTTACTCTATGTGCTATACTTTTCTTTTACGAAAATCCTAAAAATGCAGGATTTGTATAACGTTCTTATCAGAATGTACCTTGAAATTATATCCTCGTGATTTACGTTAATTCGCACTTCTGTTGCTTCTATCTGTGTAATAAGCATATCTTAAAACAGCGAAATTCGTAAACAAATTCCATTACGCCTAATTCACGTTACATACCTACATGTACACATATTCAAATTCAAAAGTAAAACTTAATTTAAACAAATAACTGCACCTTCGTCTATAAGTCACTGGACATTTGATTGTTTTGCGAGAAATAGAAATGGAAACAGAAATGCAATTTCACTAAATCATTCTGCTTTTTTTGTAAGATTGAACATACTTCGAACATCTTTCAGAATTACCGAACAGAAATTACAAAATGATAATCAGCTGTAAATTTTGTAACATTACCTATAGTCGACCCAATTTAATGCAATCAAATAATTTTGGCAATGACTTTTAAAAGGACTAAAAAGACGCGTAAAATTTAACAAAGGACTTGTGGAAGTGATTACAGACTGATTTGAGTGGAATTATGGGAGACTTATGTTTAAAAATGCCTGAATGAAATGAACACACTAATTAACCGGATATTTACAACACTGAATATAATTTACATTTTCTCTGTAAAGTACAAGGTTAATAACAATTTGTTTATTTTGTAATTTAAGTAATTTTCTAACTCTAACTATTTCTTATTTTGCAATTAATAGTGTTACATTTAGTAAGTGTCCGATGACTTATCAACGGAAGTGTACATACTTGCTATAACCAACGTCTCTGTAATTGATTCTTCTTTTTTTACGAATATTATATTTAATTATGTACTTTTAAAACATGCGTATTCTAATCTTTACCCGTATACGGCTTTTGATTACAGTGAAATAACTACTTCGTAAACTAAGACATTGTTAATATTTTGGTGGAACCATAAGTTCGTGTATAAATTTCTATATCCACTTCTCTAGATTTAGTGGAATGGTTAAGGAATTTGTATTCTAAATTGCAACGGAGTGATAAAACCATTACTTCTGACATACACTTTGCTTAATTAATAATACTGGGTGAAATAGAAACACTTGAGGGACTAGAAAGTGATTCCCCACTACAACAATGACATATAACATGAAATGTTAAAAAAATATACATACATTTATCTTCACTTGTGTGCTTAAACTTAAATGTAATTAAAAAAACTTACCAACTGGCTTGCCATCGAGGCTCTTGTTGTACTGATACGACACCTGTTTGTAAGCGATCGTTTTGCTCTGACCGGGCTGCACCTGAAACAGAAAAATACTCTGATCAAATACTTCTGAATATTAATGAAAATATATCGTGAAATTGCTGTTCCCTGTTGCAAATCTTTTCATATTATTCAGCCTCGCTGATATCATTTGAATACATTATGTAAGAACGCTATAAATAGTCAATGAGTCCTTTTCATGAATGAATAACATCGAACGAATTACTATTCACGACGACTAAAGCTTGTCTATGTACAGAATGACCGACGAAGTGAGTCGAATTTCTGATTCGAGACAATGTGATAGGATATTTTGTATGAGCTGCTCCCCAAATCGTAGAGCAAATAATTATACGCGCGAAAATAAGTCTAAAATATAAAATAAAGTTTGTTCATATGGACTTCGATTTTTGAGAAAATCGAATTTGAAAATTTATTGATTACAACTGTAATTCAACTTTTTAGTTGTATATATTATTTTGAGTAAGAGCGCATACATGCGTCGAGAAAAATGTTAGCATTGGATAATAAAACTTAAACGAATAATGCAATGATTATATAATTTTAAGCAACACTAATTGTAAGTCAAAGTAGTGACTCAATTATTATGCATTACAAAGATCATTGATATTTCTATGTATTACACGGTGTGTAAAAAATATTCTGCAACAATTATTTTCATGGACAAATTGTTGTTTGCAATGAACGTTCAGTTTTCGAGCAGTCCGCACTCAAAGGATTAAGATTTATAGGACGAACTAAAAGGAATTAATGTGAAGCGAAAGCGTTTGTAGGTCGAGTCCCATGTCCTTCAACCAACTTTACGTATATGTAAATACAAGGTCTGTACCAAAAATAATCGAATGTTTAAAAAAGAAAAAAACATAGACAACATTTAGGGAAAACACGTATCAAATGACTGCACTTCGCTCCTTTGCGGAATGTCTTCGTGAATACACGTCACGACATTTGGAATGTCTTAGATATTTTCATAACGCTTTCCTTTCATGGTTATTTTAAGTCCTGGAAACACAAAATAATGCAATGAACAAAAGCAAACCAGTAACAATCGGTTTAAGGAAGTTTGGGTCCTTACAGGCTGTTTGAATAATATCTTTACAATGATCTACTTGAATGAATTTTTGGTCACCAGTCAAATGTAAGGAACCAACGGTGCATAAACTTTGCGAAATTTTAAATGCTCGGTCAAAATGCGATAAATCGTGGCTTTTGATAACCTCAGCTGATTTTTCAGCAATCGTAACGATGATTTTGGCTAAATTTTGATTACTTCACACATTTTTTCAATGTTTCCTTCGTTGATTCCTGTTCGTTCCCAGACGACCTGGTCGATCACCATTGTTAATGTCTTCTCGACCCACCTCAAATCGTTTGAATTAGTCGTAAAACTGTACACGAAATAAACAATTATCACCATACACTTTTTGCATCATATATTTCGGTAAATGTCTTAATGCCAGCCCTCGTGCTGGCACTTTGGGTGCTATAATTTAGCTTCTAATTATCCAAATTCTATAAAACATTGACACCATATCAATCAAGAATGTCTTTCTCAACGACAAAAATTCGTGTAGACACCGCTACTTATTCTGTCTATTTTTAGAAAGTTTAGTTATTTTTGGAACAGACCTTGTATATTTTGTTAATATTCATGATCATTATTATCACGATGTTCAACTGCCGTGAGTCATACTTAACATTTTCAGGACAATTCTGTCACAACATTATGTATAAACATATTGATATCGCACGAAAATCTACAACGAAATTCCTCTACTCGTGTATAGTTAGATACAGGCTAGCGACTTGCAATTCGTGTACGGCCTAACTATAGTTTCTATGACCGGGTGTATAGTTAGTCGAAAAAGTTCATAATCGCATAAACCTGTACTGAAAGTTGCCAATTAGAAAAAAAAATGGAAACTACAAAAAATATTTAAAATATTCCATAGTTAACAAGTTCTCCTTTAACCAAATAGCAAATTTTAAGAAAAAGAGGACAATTTATTGGTTTTGTAATTAAAGGACAAGTACCCTTCCTCTGGAATGTGGTGCTATAAATCTGACAATCGATATGCTGTATCAATCATTAGAGGACGGAAAACTATGTGCGCACGGGAATCGGGGTAATTGCAACGTTCCCTAGCCCCGTGATCTAACATTCAATGAGAATGTAGATTAGTCACGGGTGTAATTTTCTAAGCATCTCGCGATCGTCCGGATAAACATTCAGCCTCGAGGCCCTTCGCGCGTCTAAGGACAACGCCTATTCTCATTTGCATACGGAATAACAGCTTCGAGGATGAAAAGGAAAATCTAGGAGATATTATTCGCATAGAGTTTACGTCCTAGTTTACCTTTTAGCTGTATACTAGCTTGAAAGCCTGCAGTTTGCGTGCCACGTATTTCATCTACCCCTGCACAAGTATTTATGATCGCTCGTATCGCATAACTTATCATATTTACGATTTTTCAACGAGATACAGTCGCTAAAAAGTTCTATCTATTCTTACGACAAATTAAATTCAAATTTAGTAATTAAAGTCTCTAGTTATATTTAAAATGTAATGTTTCGTAAACACTTAAGAGTTGATTAAAGTTTACCTTTTCACTCGCTCGAATAAGCTTAACAATAAAACTGCCGACAATTAATGTACATATATCTATTTTTATCATATATCTGATTTATATATTAAATAATTTCTTGGCATATAATTACAATAAAATTTCCGAAAAATCTCGCGAAATTTATTGTTATGGCATTTTAACCATTTTTACAAGAGTTTACGTAAACTTAAATCTGTTTTTTTTTTAAATTAAGTTTAGAACTTCAAGAGATTGACCACGTATTATGGCAATATTTTATATTTAAGGAGCAGAAATCAAAATGATTAAAACCATTACGGAAACAGTATCTTTTTCTTCTTTTCTCGTGTGATGTCGTACTTTCTGAATCTACCGTAGCGATATGTAATTCTTTTTACTCGTATTTGGAAAGTATAACTTAGCAATATAACAAAAAACTGTAATTTAAAAATATAAAAAAGTAATCTATCAAAATAATCTCATTATTGAGATTCAAACTGCTTCAATAACAAAGAGATCTTAAAGATCAATGGAAAATATAAAAGGATATGTAATCAGATTCATATCTTTGGTGCTATTATTTTCCCCGTGAGTCTCGTGTACTTTTTAAAATGTCGCAGTAACGTTATGATCTAAAAATGAAAAGTTTACCTTGTTATTTTTATATTATTGCCACGGTTTTACACTATGATTTTATAATCCTTTATAGCAGTATTAAGTACCTATGTGCGTAGGCACTTTAAAGTGCATCACTTAAATGATATCACATAAGAAACCTATGTAGATATCATGAAGTATTAAAGTTCTGTGTACCAAATATGATCCAGAATACGGAACTTCGAGTTTGTAATGTTGTGTGCCTACATGGGAGTACTTCGCGAACCTAAAGAATAAAATTTTGAAAAAACAATAATAAATTTTGAAAAAACAAGAATACATTTTTTTCGCTTGAGGCTTCGTTTTCGAGAAAATGCAGGTGAACATTTATCTAACATGCGTGTATACTTGTTGGCAATAAGTAACAACGGCCTGCAATGAACAGACGTGTTAGTCAAGTCTTATTCTATTGCCCATGTGTCCAACAAAGTTTCAAGTTTAATTATCTGGAAAGCAAAACATCACCCGAAAAATTGTATTCGTTTTTTTTCGACTTATTTTTTCTTATAGTATCACTTACTGTTCTACTGAAATAACCAATAATTGATAAACATATAAGCCACTGCATTCACAGAAAATAATAATTAGGCGAATGAATTATAGAAACTTGAGAATTTTTCCGCATTTTTGAGAGATCACTATTAAGAAAACACGTACATTTAAATTTAATTGTCGTTCTTAATAAAATCTATTTTATTTTGGGATGACTACTTTTTCAACTAATTGTAAGAGTAATTTAATGGACGAAATAAATCGACAGAATGCGTTTTATAGCCCATCGATCGTTTTTATTTGCGAAAGGGAACAACGGCCCATTTAATACGATGATTCAAAGTGATTTTGAAACGTGCATGAGAGTTCTAAGTAACTTGCATACATGACCGAGTTATTTTAGTCCAATGTTAGGTCAGAGACTATAATGTTTATAAACGTACAGATTACACTGGTTTTAACTATAAGAATCATGTCACACTCTTTAGTAATCTTCCAGTCCAAAGTACATATAGGGTGTTTCAATAAAAGTGATAGATTTTGAGTTGAAATAAAAGAAAAGGTATATGAAATATATCTTTAAATCTTTATTTCACTAGAAAGTCTAGTGTTTCACTTTCTTTATTTCACTAGAAAGTCTAGAGTTCACTAGAAAGTCTAGTGTTTGATGGCATTAATTGCGCAACACTTTTCTATAGCAAGGATCCGTTTACTCTAATTTCTGATGACTTCCTTGCATAATTCGGGTTCTGTGTCAAGCATAACTCTACGAATATTGTCATTGAGTTGTTCAATCGTTCATGGATTATATTTATACACTTTCGACGTAACCTAGCCCCAGGAAGAAATCACACGGTGTTAAAACGCATGATTGCAATGATCGGCAAATCTCGAGATTGAACCGATCGAGAAATTTTGCCTTCAAAATAGCCCATGTTTCTTTCGATATGTGAGTCGTAGCGCCATCCTGTTGGAACCAGACATTGTCTAATTTTACACCGAGCCAGTAATTTCAAATGTGTTTATAATTCGACGAATTGTGGCTACAGAAGGTCTGGGTTAGGTGTCTATCTCTCTGGGTAGGATCATGTAGACCGTAAATTCCTCGAAGCGCGGGAAATATAGCTTCAATTGAAAGCAAATTTTGATAGTAAATTCAAATACTACTTCTACTCGTTGCTGGAATTTTGCCAAAGGTTATCGATGCTTTCTGCAAGAATTTTCATGAACACACGCTGAGCAGTTCACAAATGACAGCCGTTCAAAGATTTATCACTCCTATTGAAACACTCTATTGTACAAGTATTTGTAGTACATTTTGTGTGTGTTGAAAAGTCTAGGTGACTCTCACGTAATACGATCTCTTTAACATGCCTGATAAGGAACAAAGTGAACCAATAAAAATAGGTTTCATAAAAATAATTCTTTTCTTCTGTTATATAATAATAATATTTAAGTTTTAATGTATATATGAAAATATGAATATAAAATGCTTATGAAAAAAAGAACTCACGTTCTGTAGTTCCGAATCGATGAATTCTAAACCAGGTATACCACTCGGTGCACCGCTTGGTCCGGTGCTTACGTATTTTTCTGTGGTACTCATAGCCGTTTGACTCGGCGAAATCGGCCTGAAACAGTGTAAACAACTTTTAATTAAAAATTACAATAACAACAGAAGACGATAAATAATTGCTTTAGTACAAATAAGAAAAAATAACGGCTCCTTGCGGTAAATTTAAAAATCCTATTTGATAAATAAATTATTGTTATAACTATGATTTACTTAATAAATATTTTAAGACTAAACACGAGAAACATTGTATCATGATACGCTACGGAAGTATGAGACACCAGAATATAAGAAAGATAGTACTAAATAATTCGGTGATCAAAATTGTAAAATGGATGATAGTGTTGGAACAGTAGCCGTATTAGTTATAGAATAATTTTCATTTCACAGAGAAATAAATTAAGAAATAAGTTCAAATACAACATATATAAAAGGAATCTAGGTAGTTATTAATTATGCATTTACTCAAATAATATTAAACATTCTTGTACAGTCATTGGGTCACTATAAGGCGGCCAATCTAAGAACAATTACATACACAGTCATGTGAAAAATAAAATTCGTGTAATAGTCTATTCTCTATCATTTTTCACAAATCACAGGTATGTACCGACAAATGATTTTTAGTAACGTACACGAAGAATACAACTTCGTATAGTAATAATGATTGGAAGCGTAACTGGACGTTCAATTGTCCTTAGTGAAGTAACAGACTTAAAAAAAGTAATAAAAGCAGATTTTTTGCGACGAAAGATATTTTTAGGACCTGCTTACCTGACTTCAGAAACCACCTTGGTTGGATTTGCAGCCACGCGATACTCCACTTGGGGTGACAGCGCTCTGCCTCCTCGACTTGGGGTGGCACTTCTTGATACACTTGTTTGCAGGTCTTCTAGAAGTGCATCTGCAATTGTTAAACAGAACGTCTCGCACTGTTCCTTTTTCTTTTGTTGAATCATTATGCGAATTGTAGGTTTACTAAGCGAAATTAAGCTTAAAAATGAAGGTGCTCCTAAAAGATCTTCAATTTTTAGCTAGTCAATTGTTGTTCATTCAAGGTGACCCTTTTAGATCCACTCAGCAGAATAATGCACATGAGTTTCGCACATTCTTTTATCAACATTTATACATCATTGCTATTTTAACAGATTGGCAATATTTCAGTCAATGTTTTCAGTATATTTTTATATCAACTAATAAACTTACATTGTGTCCTTGGAGGGTTATCAGTAGCAAACAATATAACAACAGAAAACATTTTCTAGTCAGTGAAATTAATCTGGATCTTAAGGGGTTAAGGATAGACCAATGAAATTTTGTTTGGGCTGCTGTTACTTAAGGAAGAAGAATATATTCAGTAAAATATGGAGTTATCTGAAGGTCTATGATTCAGAGCGGCGTTTCATTCTCAAGAACGGATCAAGCAAGTACGATTTTGCCCAGCACACAATGGACCAATAAGAGCTCGATCATGTGACGAGTCAAGCCACCAATTGTTGTTATAACGGGGTCCATCCTTAACTTAAATGAACAATATTTATATTGTGTGCATCAGTATTCAGTAAACAGTATAAAAGTAAAATATAATGAAAAGTCGTGAAAAAGGAGAATCGAATTTTTTATATAATCAATGATGATTCGTGATCGATAAGATAATTCGTGATGATGGAAGCGTTATAAATTGTTAAATTTTGGTTAATGTCAATAGCAATTAAAATAAAATGAATTTTGTTTAGGGTTAGTATGTTGTTTATGAAACACTAATTGAACATACTTTTCGTTATTTTACCTATTAATCGCAATAAATTGTAATTTATTATCGGAACTATTTTTTGTAATTTTAAGGGATTAGTAGATTTATGATAGGCACTGTACATTATAGAGAGTATAAAATTATAGAAAGGTTTACAAAGCATTACGAATATCTTGAATACGTATAATAAGAGTACAAATTGATTTAAAGTTATAATGTAGTTGGCATCTAAAAATACTAGTGTAACAGGTATCATTAAGTACTCTTTAATATAAGATTATTGGTGTCGTTAGTTACGTGCTGTATTAAATATAATTTATGCGTCATTCGAATTGCTTGCGTATAATTATGCAATTTTTCAAAGTTATTGTTAGTACGAGACAGTTAATTATATTTAATTACTACTCGTATGATATAGTATACTACACGTATTTTATTTTTACCTTTTTTCATCATGCTTTATACAGTATTTTCTATATATATACTTCTATTTACTTTAAAACAATTACTCCTAATTAATTTTTTAAATAATTGCAAAATAATTGTTCAAAAAATGAAGGTTACGTACATACGCGTTTAATACATTGTAATTCGAGTAGTTATTTCGAAACCAGTCGAATTAACAAACTTATAGAATGGAGTTTACACAGTCTCCAACTGTGTTACTTTCTGTTTTATTTTAAGAATTCAGCCGAGCGTAATGTTAAGAATACTTTCAAGAAGCAACTCAAATTTACGTATCTTCAATATCAATGAAGCAAATCAATTTCTGAAAATTTCGAAGCCTTTTAATAAAATTCACGGAATTCCATTTTGTTTACCATTAAATCGTATTCATTCCATAAATTTTTATACGTTTCGTAATATTGAAAAATAGAGCGGGAAATCGTGCAGATTAGGCAATGTTTGTGCAATGATTAATATTCTTCGTGGACGGAATGACGCGGGGATAGGGTTATACTTCGACTGGCACATTTAAAGGTTTACCTAAGTTGTTTTCGAGGCTGTTGGCCGTGGTTGCAACCTGGCTCTGGCCAGATATAGGACTGCCATGACTCACGATCTTTCTGCTGGTGCGAGTTGTCGTTCTCTCCCTCACCGCCGCTGACATTGCGTTCTGCTTAGTTCCCTGCCTCACGAGACCTGACGAATAGTTCCAAAAAATTAGATATCGCTCCTCTGAGAACTGATTATTAATTATTCCTCGAAGGAGACTTAAAATTCAAATCACGGTAATTGTGCAGTTTAGCGGCTTTTCTCAATTTCAGCTAGTTTGCTGCGATTTTTTTTAAATAGCTTCATTTTATCACTAAAACAAAAAATCAGGTGGGGGAGGTCGAAAAAGTAATGTAGTTCCGGAGATATTTGCAAAAAGCTGCTGCTACTACAACATTGGCTCTTGCCTATACGTGTACACTATTTCACTACGGTTTTTTAAATAGCATCATTTTATCACTAAAACAAAAAATCAAGCGGAAAAAATCGAATAAGTAATCCACATTTATTATTTTTGTTCAAAACAGCGTGGGACATTATTCGGAGTTATACACTCAACACTGATTCCAATAACCTTTGGATATATTATAGAACTCGACATTTTGAACAACTTTTTCCGGTACACGTTAGCACCGATTGGGCTTAGTTTTCGAGATATTTATAGCCAAAAATTGAGAATAGTCGCTAAACTGCACAATTACTCGCATCACGTTTCAATTCTAATAATTCGTGACAGATCAACGTATCTGGGCACGTGCAAGGTTAAGGAATTCTTTCAGAGAACATACATTTTCCTATAAAATGAGTATCAAAACAGGATGATACAATTTTGAAATATTCAGTAAGAAACGTTTTTATAAAATACGGTATTAGTATTTTCCAACGATTACAATTTTACTGTTTGCAGCGTAATAAAAACGCTTGTAACAGCATCTTTCTTTTGTTTTTCAGTCTCAGGTTTACGGAAATCCTATCTGTCAAAAGATTTTCATAGCTGGTCATGCTAGCGAATCGCATCACGAAAATAAGTGCAGCCTAGATGAATCTTGTTTGGGCACAAAGCTTTGGTTCTTATGTAAGCGATCATGACCAGTACGTGCCGTCAATGTTTTCGGCGTGGTGAAGTATTTTTTTTTTCTTCGGAGTGACTTTTAACTTGAATCCTATTGTTACACCGTCGTCCGGACGTCGGACGTAACAGTGGTCCTATTTATAGATGCTGAACGTTTATAAATATGGCAGATTGGAAGAGATCGAGAAACTGGATCTAGAGGCGTGGTGCAGGGACTTTCGCGGTGAATACCTAAAGCCGGTTTATCGGCCGCGCGCTCAAGTCACTTGTGGGCTAAAGCGGTGGCATTTCGAATTAAGTGGGCGCGTGTACTGCCGGGGCCCGTTCTTGATAGTAACTTACGAACGAAAATTTATTTCCACTTCGACGTTCTTAGATACGCTGGCCTACACGACATTGCACGTCGTAATAAAACAATATTACGCCTTGTGTGTTTGAATAAACATTCCTTTTCACAGAACTTGCTCGAGATATTCGATTTTTCTATTATTCCTTATTAGTGTTCCTTTATTCGTTGTTACAAAAGATATTAAACTTGCAGTTAGCGATCGCGGTGAGTCATAGATTCGTATTTTATATTTTAACACTGGAACGACTAGCTTTCAACACAGAGTTGTAGAATATTCCATATTTAATTTTATAATTTATTAATACGTCTAATTTATAATAGAATAAGTGTAGTATAACACAAAATATAGAATCTCTGTTCGTAAAAATAATTAATTTCATCTTTATGATTTTAGTAACGATAAAACAAATTACCTACTATTCGTCCATTTGACGGGTTTGATGCTTCCAGTGTTAAAAAGTGTTAATTGTGTTATGTTGAAATGAGGTTTCTAGCCCTCGAGAACAAAGAATCTTATCATTTCGTGTACAGAATTACTTAAATAATAAGCGAAAGGCAGAAAACTGATTGATATTTATATTCTATAAATATGAAAAAAAATAGGTAAAGAAACAGGTTTCATGTTTACAATTTTTATTTAAACAAAATTATTAGTCATCTGGAATTCTATTAATATCTGACGCAGATCTGCTGGGGCTTCTAAAAGCTTCAATCTGATATTTTTGAAATTTTAAGGTTGAGAGTTAACATGAGTAAGAAGTTAAATGGAGTGAATTAAAGATGGCGTGTGCTATCTTTGTCGCGGCGTTTCCTCGGGAAATGGTAAACGGCCGTGTTATTCCGGCGGAGACTTCGATGCGAATGGGGCAAAGGGGCCAAGGAGGCCTTCCGAGAACCGTCCGCGGAGGAGACACGCACTCGTATGATCACCACTAAACCTTGAAACGCGTATCCGGACCGTTTCTAGAATTTGTATTCCCCCAACAAGTCTGATAAAAATTTTCTGCCCGAACCAGTCCGTGCGCGTACTCTCGAAAACTTCGAATATTTCTGTTCCACACGAGCCCTTCCAACTGTTTGAATGAATAGAGATTCTTCAGTTCTAATTTAACTAATTGTTTCATCGTATAAAATTTGTTTTTTGTTAATATTTTTATAGCTCAATTTGTTATTAGTCCTTTAAAATGTTGACCACCACTGTATCGATAACACTATACTTGTTCCTCTTAGAACTATAAAATTTTATAGTTATGTACCTCAGCCAAATTTATTTTATTACCACGTGCAACCAAGAATGTATTAGGTCATCCCTGAAATTCGCATCCTATTGTCTGCAGATGGTTCGTTGCGTTTTCTAAGGCCATCAGATGGTTTTATATTTTAACGTGCAATCATGATAAACGTATTAATTTCGATATTATAATAAAATGAATTAATAAAATTGAAAGAAGAAGTAACAATGAAAGGTTTAAAGCTATTCTTCATCGATATAACGCTAAATTATATGTCCCATAAGTGGATAAAATATTTTTAACTGTCGTCATTATAAGAAAATGCATGAAATAATATTTAAATAATAAACCATAATGACAAGAGGGACTATCATATTTCTTCTTAAAACTATAAAGTACGTATTAAATATTAAACTGAATATCTGTTTACTATAACAGCTGATTTAGTAACGCGTTACATTAAACTTTAAACGAATTTAGTTAGTCAAAGTAAGTATAAATTTTGTATAACATTCTAGTAAACGCTGAATTTTTATAACTGATTCTCCCAATTTAAGACTTATTATTCAACGATGTTTTCACTCGTTGCCTTTGTGCTAAGCAGTAGTTCTTGCCAGAAATTGGACTGATGTTTACGTACAATTTAAACTTATAATTTCGACGTTTCAGGTTATATAACACACCAAAAATGAATTCCTTCAAATTATTTATTTAATAATTTTAAACAAAGTTCAACCAATCATATTCGAAAAATACATAATATTAGGTGAGTGCAACAGTTTTTAAGAAATCTTAGACAAATTATTTCATAATGACGGATTCCATTGTTCAACAAATTTTAATTCTTCTCCTAAGTTTTAACCATTAATAGGTGTTTCTCATAGATCTTTATGAGCTAGATACGAATCTGTCAACCGTTTTTTCCCAGCACGTCCAGTTTTTGAAAAAATCAATTTAAACAAAAGTTGTAAATTTTCAATTTTGGAGGTGTGTTGTGTATTTACAATGATAGTTATTCACTTGCTTTTGGCACGAAATAATTATTTGGACTCTCTCGAACAAAGTGATGTAAATTGTTATTTGAAAAAGAACTAATGGAATATTTATTGGTGTTTATTGTTCAGAATAATGTACTGGGTTTTCAGATTTATTCTCTCATTAAACAAGACTGTAATTACTATCATCATTTGGTACTCAATTTTTGCGAAGTAATCCTTGCTTGAATGCTGTTAGCCAGACGTAGCTGACTAATTAGGGGTCGTTCACCTCTCAGTAGTGATGGGACATTATTAAGCCACTAATCTATCATCATAAAATAATTTATATCTAATAATTTTATGAATTCATTTTACACTCTTCAAGTCTCTTGAATGCGTATTTAAAAGATTACGCGTAGTTTACTCTCTAATAAAGGTAAATGACGATAAGCACATTATATATACAAATTATAACGTAAATTAAGTTTATATCAAGTCTTATTCAACACGATGTGATAATATTTTATAAATTAACAATAGGACTTTTTGTACCTCTTCTTATGAACTTTAAGGGATGATTTCATACCCTAAACATGAAAACGGGCTAATATAAAAAAAAAAGGTATTTGTTATTTTTCAATCCTCTAAAACATATGTGAAAGCCAATGCAATCAGAAAAAACCCTTCCTTGTTAGTAACTAGTTTTGTTTAAAAAGTTTTAATAACTGATGTTTCCCGCGCTTACGCTATTGTGACTACTTACGCGATATGACCTCTCGTGTCAGATCGTTAACAAAGTGGTAGTGACATTGTGCATCGTTGTTCGAGGCTATCGTGCGAATCAAAACGATGATGACCGCGGTTGATCTGATTCTAAATGCGGTTGCACAAACGCTGTGTTTGAAAATTAATTTGTAACGTGTTAAACATAATAATCTGGTTGCTAATTTTATGCACTTAAAACATTTTTGGTTCTATAAGCCACATTGTGTTAAGAGTTGGAATTAAATTTAATAGTGTTCTCCTTGTATTTTTAACAAATAACAGGAGTTTCGATTTATCATCTGAGTTCATAAATTAGTCTGTAAGAATGCGTAACAGTTTGCAATTGAATAATAACAATTACTAATTTTATTTTAGTATATCATTTGAAAACTCGAATTTAAGGACAATGATATGTGATGGTCCCCATTTATAACGTTCGCGTCCTATAGCCAGGTTACTGGTCACTCGTCGACGAACAGAGTTACCGAACCATTTATACAGCGAATACGTTATTACAACAATGTTGGGCGTTCTTCGAATAAAAATTTAGTTGTTGTTCTATTACAGTATCGGACAAAAGTAGTTTGGAGTAACAAATAAAAAGATAACGAAAAAATTCGACTTGTTCATTATTCGCTAATAACAAATAACTCAATTAATTGTTATTCGTGGATAACGACTGTATCCATGTAGTATTCGTTATTTTTAAATTTTTTTTACCAGTTTTGACGTTCTGTACTCCGAAGATTAAA